GCCCCCCAGCAGCTTAGGCCTATAGCAGCATAACTAAGGGAAGGCTCAGGGTCACCTGATCCAGCCCTAACTATAAGCTTTATCAAAAAGGAACGTCTTAAGTCTAATCTTAAAGGTAGAGAGGGTGTCTGCCTCCCGAACTGAGACTGGGAGTTGGTTCCATAGGAGAGGAGCTTGATAGCTATAGGCTCTGCCTCCCATTCTACTTCTGTGGATTCTAGGAACCACAAGTAAACTTGCACTCTGAGAGCGAAGTGCTCTGTTAGGATGATAAGGCTCTACGAGGTCTTTAAGATATGATGGAGCCTTGTCATTAAGGGCTTTGTATGTTAGGAGAAGGATTTTAAATTCTATTCTGAATTTTACAGGGAGCCAGTGGAGAGAAGCTAATATGGGAGAGATATGATCTCTCTTGCTAGTTCCTGTCAGTACTCTGGCTGCAGCCTTTTGGATTAACTGGAGGCTTTTTAGGGAATTATTGGGACATCCTGATAGTAAAGAGTTACAGTAGTCCAGCCTGGAAGTAACAAATGCATGGACCAGTTTTTCAGCATCACTTTGGGACAGGATGCTCCTGATTTTTGCAATATTGCGTAGGTGAAAGAAGGCAGATCTAGAGACTTGGATTTTGTGTGATTTAAAGGACATATTCTGATCAAAGATGACTCACAGGTTCCTCACAGTAGTACTGGAGGCAAGAGCTATGTCATCTAAAGTAACTATATGATTAGACAGCAGATTTCTAAGGTTTTCAGGCCCAAGCACAATAACTTCAGTTTTGTCAGAGTTTAGAAGTAAGAAGTTGCAGGTCATCCAGGCCTTTATGTCTTTAAGACATGCTTGAAGTTTGACCAGCTGACCTGATTCATTTGGCTTCATAGATAAATATAACTGAGTATCATCTGCATAGCAATGGAAATTTATGTTGTGCTTCCTGACAATATTGCCTAAAGGGAGCATGTATAAAGTGAAGAGAATTGGACCTAACACAGAGCCCTGTGGAATGCTGTGACTAACTTCAGTTTGTGTGGAACATTTGTTATTAACATGAACATTTAAGTCCATGGTAGCACTGTTGGTACGCCAGCTTTGCCATCCTGACAGCCAAATTAAAAATTGATTTCTTCGACTGATTCCTTGCACTGGATGAATGCTCTTGCCCTCCTCTTTGCCCTCACCCTCTTTCACTCTTTCTCCCTTTCTGCCCTCCCAAGTTCATATTGAAGATCATTCTTTTTGTCTGCTACTTCCTTCTACTCTCACCTTTGTTGCGTGATAAAATCTTCTGGAGTCACTCATCGCCCTCAGTCCCCACCTACCGCAAGTCAACATTCATTTGACACTTGGCAGGCTGCTATTGCAGAGCCTACTCTTTGTCCTTTTCAGTTGTGGGTTTTCATCACCAAGGCAACAGCTATAAATACAATATATGTTAATGCTGAAATTATATCACAGACTGTCAGTAAATGTCATGAAATCTGATAAATATATCAAATATAATGAGTTGAGTCAAGTAGAATAAAAAAAGGTTATTTTTGTTCTGCTGACATGCAGGGTTTTGGATTTGCTGAGTTTCTCAATGACAAAACAAATCAATGAAGTCACCTCGAGGAAGGCTTTGGCCCTATGTTAGCTGTACCGTTAGAAAAGTGAAAAAGCACAAGTCAAAGTCTATGTCACATTGATTTGAGTAAGACAAAAACACCCTGTGGCTCTGTTACACTAATCAGTATATTCAGAAGTGATGATCAAATGCAAAGATGGGAAAAAGCCTCACTGAAGGACATTAGTAACTTTGCTCAAGGTATCACAGTTTGTTAACCTTTGATAGTTCATGTTTATCAGTGGACAAAACCAGTGAATGTCTCTGGATTGGGCAACTTGGATAATTAGACAAACTGTGGAGACCTGCCCTCTCAGTTGTGAAGATGATATATTACAAACTGCCTGTATAAGACAGTCTCAAGGGTTTGAAGATATGAAAGAAAGGCATATGGTATAGATGTTCAGTCAGCATCTGACTGAGTGCAGATTGTCTGGGTCCTTTGCCTTACAAAGGCGCTAATTATTTGATACACCTTTCAGAGTGGGTCCTGGAAGTCTCATACAATAATACTGCCAAGGCATCCCTCTCTCCCTCTGTCAACCTGGTTGTCCCCTGGCTCCCTTACTGCTTAACACCTCTCCATTTTATTCCCCCACCTTCTTTCGCGTTCTGCTATTTGCTTTCATTGTGACCCTGGCAACACCTTTGCTTTTATTTGTATTCTTTTGCTTGAGACACACTGGAGGATTTAAGAGACTATGAAAAGGAAAGCTTTATACTGTCTTCATGTAGTTGTGGCTTGTTCATTCTCTGGTATTACAGGCAGAAGGCAAGACATGTTGTATGATCCTTTCTATAAAACTATATATAATACCAGGCTGCATCTTTTGTATGAATGAAGCAGCATGGATAAATAAAAAAAAAAATACCTGGACATAAATCAAATAAAAGCAAATATCCTCAGTCCTCCCACTTCCTTATCTCTCTTTCACCTATCCCTCTCTTTTTACCACCCTAAGCCAGGCGAGCTCCCACCTTATTAGCTGCCAGTTTTAGCATTATCATGGCTAATTACCAGGACTAATCTCTGCTAATGATGCCATTATGAGGTGTGCTGCACATGTGGTAGCGTGTCCAATGTAGGAGTTAACCAAAGGAGGCTTAAGTTCAGGAATAACCCAGCATATCTGTGTGCTTGTGGTTCATTCTGTGCTAATGCGTAGGTGTGGTGTTTGACAGAGAAGAAAATGTAGAGAGAGAGTGTGCATACATGGTGGAAAAAATAAGTGATATTGAAGGGCATTTGAAAGAAATAGAGTGAAAGACAATGAGAAGAACAGCAGCAGCCTGGTAAAATTAAAACAAATGTAGTAAACCGCATTAAAAACGATGAGCCTTTCAGCGGTGTGCATATGAAAACAGGGCAATCCAAACAAAAAGCAAATGGTGACTTAATACACAGATAATAATTCTGCATTAATCTTTCCTTTTTCTATTCAGGGTGCATAGTAGTTTGCAGATCTAGTGAAACTAGGAATTTTTTAAGAAGCAAGATGCAGGAATAATCCTTATTTTATCAGTGGATTGAGGTATCTAAGTTGTGCCCAATTTCACAAAAAAAGATTTAGGAACTTTATGATCACTGTTATCTCAAACAAATTTCAACTCTCTTCTGGTAGATTTTCATAAAAATGCAAAGCAACCACCAACACATTACTGCAAAGGAGCTGCAGGAAGGTTTAGCTGACAAAGGAGTAGTGGTTCACTGTTCCACTGCACAGCATTGATGCACACACAGAGTCTGCATAGACGAGTTATCAGGAGGAAACTTTATCCGCAACCTCATCACAAAAGTTAGCATCCGAAGCACATAAAGCAACATCTGAATAAGCTCAGTTTTAACGATTGTTTGCTGTAGTGGTTGTATTTATGTGTTTTCGTAACAAAAATTAGCAAAATACTCTGCCTAAGAGTGCCCAAACCTTTGCTTATAACTGTCCCACTGATTATATGGAAGGTCTAGTTAATAGACTAAAGCATGGAAAATCACTGTTATAATAAAGTGAGTCACTGAAAAAGGAAAAAGTGACACTTTGAAGAACATTTCTACCTGCTGTCTGTGCAAACATCACTGAAACTCATGTCAAAAAGTAAAAACCTGAGTAGCGTACAGATCACTGAAAAATGTACTTAAGTACTGTAAACGTCTGACTTTACAGCAACATAACAATCTCCTGAACCTCACAGCAACAGAAAACAAATTTAGAAATGTGCAGAAGGCTTTTTTCTCCATTACCTATCAGTGGATGTGTGTGCTCATGTGAGAGAGCATAAAGCGTGTGACAGAAAACACACAAATGCAAAAATCCTCAGCTGCTTCACACTGCACCTTAAGGACTGCCTCTCAAAAGACTAGCTACAGAGTGTTCTGCAAATAAAAGGAAAAGTAAAACTATGAAAGACAAGGATAATTTACATTGCTTTTAGCACTTAATCCATTATGAATGCACACAGTGAGGCACAAACACACGTTGAGCTGAAACAGTAGAGATGTATTTCATCAAAGGCTGTCAGAGACATTTGCATTAAGACTGTAGGGCACATTCACTTCTCCATGCATCTAGATATCCCCTGGAGCCTTTTCTTTTTTCATTTCTTTTGCATATATACTGACATTTCAGAGCTATATTTTTGTACAAGAACAAATAGTTTGTACACTGTATGAATTTGACCATGAGTTAGCAGTTGATGCAGTGGTGATCTAAGCCTGATGCATTGAGCAAGTTGTGCACCCACACAACATGCACAGACATTTGTAAAATCAATGAAAGCAGGCCCTGGGCAACTCAGTGGGCCCAAGTGGTTACTCTGGGTTTGAATTTTTCAAAGTGCAAAGGACTGCCTTACCAAATCATGGAATATCAGTAAACTGAGGTCTCATCTAATTGCTTACAGATGCAATTAGGTTGCATCTGTAAGCTTTTTTGTATTGTAGACAGACTATTAGTCTCTTTTGCAGCTGCATTTTTTTAGGTTAGAAAAAGTCTACTTTTAGATAACAATCTAGTTCTGCATACCCTGTTTGATTCCACAACCACATCATCAACATGATTTTATTCAGAATAATAACTTTGCAACCACTCTCTCTCCTCACTACTTTCCAGGTGGTGTACAAGAACAATGACTTTAAGCTGGAGCTGTCACGGCTGGCCATTGAGCGCGACCCTAAAATCACCCTGAACGGTGACCTGGTGTTCCGCTGCGAGGACGTGGCAGCCCTGGACCCTGTCACCTTTGAGACCCCTGAGTCCTTCATATCCTTGCCTAAGTGGAACACCAAGAAGACAGGCTCTATCTCCTTTGACTTCCGCACCACAGAGCCCAGCGGCCTCTTGCTGTTCAGCCATGGCCGCCCTCAGGGTCCCAAAGAGCAGAAACCCGGAAGGGAGCTGAAAACTGATTACTTTGCTATGGAGCTGCTGGACGGTTATTTGTACCTGCTGATCGATATGGGCTCAGGAAAGACAAAACTGAAGGCCAGCAACAAGAAGGTCAATGATGGTGAATGGTGTCATGTGGATTTCCAGAGGGAAGGGAGGAAAGGTGAGAGCTGCTTTAAACGTGTGCTGTGTTGAGACTGACAACTAATCTAGAATTTATCTTGTTGGATAATTATTTATTCGCATTAATCATCCACATTTTATAGGTTGTCTAGGTGTTTTCATTTTCATATCAAGGAGCAGATTCATGTCAATTTAATATTTATTACACTGCTTTACTTCCCATCAGCTTTAAAAATTCAACATGTTCACAATTACCGGCATGTCGGCAAATCATCAACTTCTGCAGGATATTTAGTGACCTGTATCAACAAGGTCAATACTTGCTCCATCAAAAAACAATGTCATTTTTACTGTGGCAGATTATTTGGTGGGATCATTATTAATGAGGATTAAAAAAAATCCACAGCCGTCTTGTACTGTGGCAGGTCTGTCGAGCTTTGTACAATGTGTCAACAAAAATATCTAATGTGTCTTTTTTTTTTTTAGATACAAATGAAAATGAATACAAATTAGTTCAAACACAGCTCACAGCCCTGTCTATTCTGCATTGGCTGTAATTGGCAGCTTTACAGTTGGTTTTCTAAAGGGTAGATACCTTGATATCCCCATAATGTTATACAAAAACCACAAATGTGCATGGAATAGACATGTTCATTCTGTTCATATTTTGGTTCTGTTTTGGACAGTAGCTTGGAAGGGTTCAGTAGGCTGGAAATACCCAGTGTCACAGATTTATCAGACATGTAGTAGAATGAACTGACACATTCTAAAACTATCTAGCTAGTTCAAACATTCCAAAGCAAAAGCCAAGAACAGGCTAAAAATACTATTAAAATGACATATATTTGTTAATTTAAGTTTATTTTTCATATCTGTGTGGTGTGTTGCCCCTGGTCACATGTGGGCACAACAGAAGCATCTGTGTGCTTCAGTATGCAGTGTCTGATGAATGATCTGTAGGTGGGCAAGCACCTTGGACATTATAGTTCCCTCTAATGGCATCTTATAATGAGGAAAGGTGTGAATGTAAGTGCCTGCATGTGCATGCGCGTGCGCAAACATGCGATCTCACTGCTGCTCCTTCTGTAATTGGCTTTTAATAGAAAATTAAGACGGAGTCGTTAATCACAGAAGGAGAGAGGGCCTTTTGTTTCACCCACTCCCTGCTGCATTCTGCTTCCCTTCTCCTCCATTTAGCCTATTACAGACACATTAGACACACATACACAAACACACACACTGCTTTCATCTATTTTCCCTGTATTTTGTCTGTCTCTCTGTCTATGTTCTATGTCCCTAATTTATGCTCTTACTCCCCCTCCCACCCATCCATTCACTTACTTTTGCACTTACCCACTTGATTTTCCCCCCACCTATCCACTCCACAAATGTCTTCAATCATTTCACTGTCTCTTAGAGTCACTGAAATATACTTTCAGTCACTCACTAAACACAAGATGCATCCCCAGGTACAGACGAAATATACACATAAGAAGAACTCCAAGTTTAATTAATGTAGCTATGATTAGACCAGTATATCCGTTTGCCAATTTTTACAGTATATCTAGCAACTAATATTGTCCTGTTTTTGTTTGTGTATTCATCTATTAGGCTCTATCTCAGTCAACAGCCGCAGCATGCCCTTCAACTCCCCAGAGGGCAGTGAAATCCTGGACCTGGACAGTGATATGTACTTGGGTGGGCTGCCTGAGTCTAAGTCGGACCTTATCCTGCCACCAGAGGTTTGGACAGCTCTACTTAACTATGGTTATGTAGGGTGTGTCCGTGACCTCTTCATTGATGGCAAGAGCCGCGACGTCCGCCGTCTGGCTGAGATCCAGAGCGCGCTGGGTGTCAGCAGTTTCTGCACCCGTGAACTGCAGAAGCGGTGCAGCAGTGCCCCCTGTGGCAACGGCGGACTGTGCAAAGAGGGCTGGAACCGCTACATTTGCGATTGCACCGGCACTGGATACCTGGGTACCAACTGTGAGATAGGTAAGGAGGGTGATGGTGAAGAGAACAGGTGTCAGGAAGGGTGAAAGAATGACAACTTGGTCACTTTTGTGTTAGACAATTCAAAGAAGAAATGCCACTGTATCACCCTGAACAAGACACACAAACTGAGAAAATACAGAACAGTATATAAGTGTGCAAAGGGAGTCACAGATGGCCCCAACATGAACCAATGAGAAGTTGTTAAATCATTGATGATGTACACTCCATCCAATAAACCAGAGCAAAAAAAACAAGTGTAGGGTGACTATTTTGACACATGTGACAATGTGCTGCCTTGTATTTGACACAGCCAAGCAGCTGCTGTGTAGTGGGAGTAAGAGCCCCATGGGGAGCTATGTGTGGTCCATATGCCACATGAGGCTCGGTGGCAATAGGGCCCACTGGCTGGGGGGAGGGAATTGAAGCTGAAGCTCTGAGAGGCTGGCAGCAGTGTGGCAGAGCAGTCAGGCCTACTGCCACCATCTGTGCCGGTCACGCAGACCCAGGTGGCACGTACGCCACAACAATGTGAGGTGAGCTACTTAAATAGCACCATGTATTCTGATTCATCCCAATTAGCTGCAGGCACCTTGCTTCATGGTTTGTCTTTGCACGTCTGTGGGGGTGAGTGAGCCATGACAGTATGGGATTTTGAGGGACAAGGAAGGTAATGAGGGAAGGAGAGATTGGAATCAAATCAGGACAGTGGAGGTAGAGGATGAAATGTCTTTATTTTGAAGGGTGATATTTTAACAGTTTTGTGTCTGGGTGCACAGATGACATGCAGTTTCAGTGATGCTCTTCTGCCATCTAGTGGAGTTTTGTGCTACAGGAGGGATGTGACAAAGGACACTTTTCTAATAACCAGCAACATATTTCCCTCTGTCAGTAGTGTGTTAGCAAAATCTGTGATATTGACTAGAGGACTGTAAACCCAGAGGTTATTGCATGATTCATTTTTTAAAGTATTGATGGTGTGTTGAGCAGCAGTTGGGGTATCTATGGATTGCTACGCTCGGCTGTTCTGACTGATAGAGAAATGCTGCACTGGGGCCTTTGGCAAATAAGGTGAAGTGTGGTGATGCAATGTGTATGAATCTGTGTTTAACACTTAAAGTACCACTGGTCTTACCTGCTCCCCCACACATGATATTTTTCTGATTTTTTAAAACACGTTTTTGCATGGACTAAACCCATGTTTCCCCCGCATGTTGCCCACAAAGCAAAACAAGAGCCATCCTCAGGAATCCTTCGCTCTACACAGCAGTCTATTTATGGCATTGCTGATTTTAAAGAGCATAACCAAGGTTGTGCCTAGTGTGAACAAGGGTGCTCCAGATCCCAGCTGCACTTTGTTTTTGACATTTTACTCAGCTCGAGGATAGTCTTAATTTGTTATGAATTTTTGTTAGGAATATTTTTTGTGGTTTTCTTTTCTTCTTTATAATAAATGTTTTCATTTTGTACTCTGCGTGGTACATCTGATAAAAATGGTGTAAGAAGTCTGTTGCATATTCTGCAAGCTTGCAACATTAGGCTGATACAAATGAAGACACGATTTTTTTTATTATGAAAATCACATGAAACATGGGTGAAATTACTAAAGCAACAAAAGAGATAAAGACCTAGAGGTGAAGTCTATATGCTTTCATCACAATCCTGAGAAGTCCAATAATGATTAACACCATCTTTTTATCAGGTGATAGGTTTACAGTTTTCAAACCCACCTGGCTTCGATCATTGTATGTTTTCCTGATATTACGCTGTAGATGTGGCATCCAAATGTACTTATTTTGGCAAACAGGTGATTTTGTATTTGTTCTAGTTACCTTTTAAATGTTAAAAAGAGAAGAGAGAACTTTTTAAATTGGTATTTATTGATGTACACGGTATATGTCCACACTTTTTTCTGTTTAATTTAAGATAAATGTTGAAAATCCATGTAGCTTAGATTTGTAGTGTTTGGTGAAACTGGGACTTAATTGTATCAGAGGTGAATATTTTCCAGCATGTTTTCTTCAATGTCATTTAGAATGACATTGAATTTGCCAAATGCATTCCACTGACTCTTGATATTGGGCTGTCATGTCCAGTCGACCACCATGCATGTGTCCTGTTTCATCTGTCTCTCTGTCCTACCCATTTTGTCACACTGCTTTTCTCTCCTTCACCCCACTCCAGAGGCAACAGTGCTAAGTTATGATGGCAGCATGTACCTGAAGATCATTGTGCCGGTCACCATGCACACAGAGGCTGAGGACGTGGCACTACGCTTCATGTCTCAGCGGGCGTACGGCCTGCTCATGGCCACCACCTCCAAAGAGTCAGCAGACACCCTGCGACTGGAGCTGGATGGAGGCCGTGTTAAGCTCACCGTGAACCTTGGTAGGACACTGTGATTGATTATGGATGCACCTGCTAACCTTTCCCATCCCATCCCCTGTCTGTATTTGTGTACTGCTAACTTAAAATGATGGTTTGATATTTTGAGTTTGACACTATTATTTTTGTCATTTTCAGATGATTGTGTGGGGGAAAAGCTTCAAAATTTGTCCCTCAGTTTTATTAGATTTGTTTGATTTGATAGCTTGTGGTTTGTTTCACTTAATGGATACAATTGGCTGTACAGCAAGCTAACAATCTAACCTATAGCCATCACTATCATTGGTTTAAATGAGGAATGTCAGACAGTGTTAATTTTGACACTTGAATTCGATTTTATTTTAGTCTTAGTCGGTTGGTGAAAATGCATATTATTATTTTGAGTTTTGTTTGGTTTAGTCTAGTTTTAGTCCGTAAATACAAAATAACTTTTAGTCTGGCTTTTGCCATTTTTAAACTGCATTTTTAATATTTACTTCAGGCTATAGCTTCTTCCTCCTTGCTGGGTAATGGTGGTCAATGTAAAACATTTTGTCATAGTTCTTGTTATTAAACATTACGTTCTACTTTTTTTAGTTTCCTTTTCATCCTGAAAAATAGGTCGTCACCGAATATTTTTCATCATAGTTTTTAACAAATAACACTGATATTCATTAGCAAAAACTGAGGTACAAACACAGAAGCTTCTCCTCCAACTCATAAAGAAATCAAACTAAAATGAAAATGTAAAGGCATCCCCAAAACATAGTCCTTTTGCCCACCTAGGGGAGCCAACCTGCAGTCATTTCTGTACCTTTCCTTTGACTTGGGTCCCTCACCATCTCCTCTGCTTTCATTCCCTCCTTTTGTTCCTCTAGCACCTCCTCCCATTTAAAAGCTCCATCTCTAACAGTATCCCTGGCCTGACCCCGAGCCGTAACTTACTGAACTGTCTCTAGAAGCGTCAAGGTGGCCTTGCTCCTGTCTTGCTCCTCCTCATGATTCTGCTCCAATCCATTTTTTGTGGAGTTAGCTGAGGGGCTGGTTGGCTCAGAGGAAATGGGAATCTTTGTCATTAGTAATTACAGATGAGCTCAAAGAATAGGAGACTGGAAAGAGGTTTGAAAGGCAAGCTTACTCAGGAGAAGGTTAGTGAAATTGTAGAGTGGGGTTAGTAAGATGGATGGTTTCATAGAGGAAGCTAATGCCTTTCTCTAATAACTTGGTGCAAGAATGCAGACCTTTTTACTTATTAAAATTTCATTGTACTGAATATTAGTGCTCTGGGGAAGATGGATATGACCTTCCAGCTCTGGACACTTTAAGTCTGTCCTGATCCTTCGATGGAAGAGACTTTCAGCAGTGAACCAGGAGGAGCATGACAGAGGTACATCCTCCAATATAGGAGCTTAAGCCACCATAGAGACAGGAAGGGGGTGGTGGGGTAAACAAAGGTGGCCATTCCTCTTTTTTTATTTTTTTATCTTTCACCATCTCTCTCTCTCTCAATCACTCACTCACTCTCTGTGTCACTCATAAACACCCCACCTGGCCAAGACTCAGAAGATGGAGCTTTTCATCCCTTCAATGGCCCGTATGTCTGCGGCCCTAGGATCAAACAGTCAGAGAGACCGGCTCACAGTTGCACACACACATTTGTACTTAACTGTACACAGAGTCACAGCTTGACCTGCTATAGATCGCTGGAACACACAGTTGTGACTAATCCATCATGTCAGAGTCCTGAATCTGTATAGCAGCCCCATTCCTTTGTTTTCAACCGGGCTTAAATGACACTTAAAGTGCCCATGGCATGCTCATTTTGCTCATTTCCAGCCATTTAATGTTTAATCTTGGGTACCTCTAGATTAGCTTGGCACCCCTCATAACTCCAAGTAGATTGTAATTATTTCAGAATCAGAGCCAGAAAGCCTCTTCCTTAAAACGAGAGGATAGTTCATGAATGCACACATCTACTGCTGCCGGTGTTGTGTTGCAAGTGGACGGCACAACGAACCGCGATTAATAAGACTTTCTCCCGCATAGATGGGTAAACAGCAGTATATGTACCGGTATACGTATATATATATAAACCCAGTTGCTTCTGCATAGAAATACTAGAACATATGAACACCCAATTTTTTGAGCTTTAGGTCACGTCTAAGATGATAATTCACAGTTGTAACATTGTAGATAAGTCAGAAAACAAGGAAAAGCATGTTATGGGTCCTTTAAAAAAGTCGCCATTGAATAGCAGTATAAATCTGCTCAGGATCTGTATCGCGTTGTTGCAAGGAAATTAATTAACAACTAAAGTGAAACTCCTCCCACAATCAGATGAGATTCTTCAGTATCTGTTAAGGGTTTAATCCCTGTTGAGATAAACGCCTGCTAATTAATCACCAAGAAAGGCTATATTTGGATAGAATTAATTCTAATGATATTTATTAGTGATGAGTAATTGTGGTAACCTCTTCAATTAGCAGTGTGTCAGCTGAAGCTAAACTGCCACTCTGGTAGATTACAGTGGCACGTCCACACAGAGTCAGACTGTCTTTTTATTGATTATCAGATGAAAATTCATATAACGCAGGGACAACTTTTTCATAAAAAAAAAAAAAGATTTGCACCCAATTTCATTTATTTAAGAAACATCGCTGTTTTCCAACACATGTGGCTCATGACTACTGGAACGCTTTTATTATGATTTATTAGTGTGTTAATCTTTATGTTTGTATGTGAGCCACTTTAAATTGCTTCCACTTTATGAATTATGCAATATAAATATATTTTAAATTCTTTTTTTCTTTCTTTCTTTTTTAAAAACTGCATTGTATTACTGCAACATCTCTATGCCGGTCCCTGGCTGTTTGTGTCCACTATTCTGTAGCGGTTGACAGCTCGAGACCACAGCCCAGCCACAGTGCCACATGCACATGTAGCTTGTGACCACTAGATGGGGAAGAATAGCCATTTTTTTTGCTCACAGACATGTAACCAGATTGGATGTATACTGACATTCTGCTTTAACCTGAGTCTTCAAGATGAAGGACAAAGATTTTTAACCAACACTTCACGATTCTGACAACACAGCTTGTAAAACAAAAACACTTTTTGCTGTGTTGTTGTCACACTGCTTGTAGCAAATAGCACACAGTGGGGTCTTATTTCTTGTGGTTTGTGTGCACCAGGCATGAGGTGGCTGGGATGTGCAGATCACCCTTTCTTGTCATTTACACTGTTGGGTTTCTCATGCCCAAAGTGCGGCAGAGGGCAAATGCATCTCAAATTGCCAGGAAGAGGGTCCAAAGGCATGAGACAGTGTATCTGCTCTAGTGAAGGCACAGCAGATGCAGGAAAAGGGTGTTTGTGTACAATGTGAACATAACGGCTTCACAGTGTTTGTTTGCAGTCATAGTCAAAAAAGCAAGCACCTCAAATTGTTTAGGCCATCAAATTCTGGCCATGATACTTGTTTTAATTAAGTTAATCATACATTTAGTTTGAACTATTGCTATGTGCTATGTTTTATACAGTGTCACTACAATTACTATGATATGCAAAGGTAAAAAAAATAAATAAAAAACCCATTTGTTATAAAACTTTGAAACATATGAAAGGTGTATATAAGTATTGCCAGATGATATGCTAATTATTTGGATCTCAGTATTTCAGACCTGCACTCTACCAGAAATACCATATAATTTCAAGTAATCAATTTGCCTTGATGTTAGCTCTGAAATCCCATTGTTTATATCAACAATAAATAACTTGGGCTAGATTATAAATTTGGCGAAAGCAGACATGTCATCACCATGTTGACATTGCGTCATGCTCTCTTATGGTGCCTTGCCTTCTGCTGCTGTGCTTTGGGGCTATCAGGTTGAAGGAGGGGTTGATAATGGGACTTATGAAGGAAAAGGGTGATCCTGACTCAGAGCATGTCCCCGGATGGTGGCCCCAGAGCAATGCTTGGTTGTCTGCAGAATGTACCTTGAAGGATGTAAAATGTCTTTTTTTCTCTTTATCCTTTCTTCTCTTTCTTTCTGTCTCTTTTTCTCCTTCTCTTTTTATTTGATCTCACCATTTCGCTCTCTCTCCTGCCAGATTGTATCAGGATAGACTGTAGCCTCAGTAAGTGGTTCTATCCATTTTTCTGACTAAAATGTATGTTTATCTCATCTTGATTCTGTGCAGTGGCCCTTTTCTACTCATGTCCTGACCTCATGATGAGTGACAACTTTCTCATTACCCATTTTTTTCATTCATTCCTTTATTTAATACATTTTTTCATTAAGTTTCTTACCTTTGAATATGCATCAGTTGAATTTCTATTTTCCACCTCACATGTTTTTCTCCCATTGCCATTTTTCATTCTGTCTCATCTGAGTGACTCTCCCCTCCTATGTGTCAAAAACATGGTCTAAATTGTATTTTTCTTCTTTCTATAAGTTCTGTCACTTTAATTTCCCCTTTTCTGTCACAATTTTAATTAATGTTTCACTTACATAATTGTCAGGATATTTCATCTTGTAAACCTCAGAACTGAAAAATAATTTAATTGCTTCTCCCTTGCTTATTACCCGTTCTATTCATTTTCCTGTCAACGTTCTCCAAAAACACATTCAGAAAAGGGCAACTTGACACTCCCCTGTTGGTTGTTCCTATTTTCTATTATGCAGCACTGAGTTTCAGCTCCACTTGGCTGCACACGCAGGTGTTGCTTGTTTTGTATGTGGGACAAACTGTAGATTTGGCCCCCAGAAAGCTAATTGCCTATCCACTGAGAGACGGCACCACCTGGTGCGTGCTTGTTTTCAGTGAAAGCTAATGTTTTTCTGCCCCATGCTGACAGAATGATAGCAAACTGTTATTTCTATCATGGCCACTGACAATTGAGCAACGAGTCCTCAGGTAGGTGCTGCCAGCTACAGTGACAAAAATGGAGAAAACGTCATGTTTGCCACAGTGTTTGTGTGTACATTTTTCAGTTTTTATAATGTGCATTTGATTGTTTTAAGGTGGGGGGTTGACTTTGATAAAACACTAATAGCATCTGAGGAAGTAGCAATTCTTTTTTTTTAACAAAACAATTTGTAATTTGAGTATTTGCTGGGTCATTGGTACTTACTATGAGTTTACAGTGAGGCATATCGGAGCAGAGTAAGGGTCAGGCTTTGTATTTGGCATCGAGTTAGAAATGTGCAAAATGTTAAAAATGAGGTGATGGTTAAAATGAGGAAATCAATGTAGTAATGGGAAGGTGCATCTGTAGAATCCATCAAATGTGTTTGTATGTGAAGCTTGTTTCTTCATGTTCTATACCTCTACTCTTGTACTGTGTGTGTGTCATATGCCTTCACTTAAAATGCAGATGGTCACTGGCTGTGTCAGACTTAATGGTGTGCAGTCCAGAAACTTCAAAAGCCTCCATTAGACACAGAAGCACCTTTAGTCTATGATGAATTGCACTGCTTATTATATGTAGAGCCTGCCTTGACACACATTCCAATAATGCTAGAAAATGTCCATACTCTAGGCTGACCACTAGATGTCAGACAAGCACTGGGAATATTGTGTGTTGTCACTGCAGCAGGAAGGAGATTTTTTTTTTTTTTCTGTTCCACCACTCAAAACCATTTCCCTGTTAGGTTAGAGCTGACTTAGATTCTACACTATTGCAAATGATCTTATCTGGTGGGTGAGGTCATGACAGGTTTGTATGTTCTAATGTGAGAAATGTTTTGCAATCATAGAGTGTCAGGACGTTCGGCAGTTGTTTTTACAGATTCTCCATGCTGCCAGTCTGCCTTCATAGAGCTGACTTGAAACAATGGGTGTCAGTGTTTTCCCAAAGAATTTTCATTTAACTTTTATATTCCTCTTACAGCAGTGCACTGCTTCATGGCCACTCAGTCACACACAACATTATATATTAAAAAGAAATTGCAGAATATGAGTGTGTGAGAAGGAGAGAGACCAGAGAAAAAGAGAGCAAAAAAGGCAGAGATACAAACAACAATTTATTCCATGGCATGCCATATCATTTCCTCCTTCACAGCCATATGGAAACTAAAGCCTAGAATTTGAGTAAGAAACCCAGGGTACCCATGTCTCTCTGCTGGCTGGTCTATGCAGATGCTTTAGTAGCTAACAGAACCAAACCTTAGAAGAAGAAAAAGCAGCAGTATTAATGTGACACTGTACAGTATATATACTTTTTTTGTTCTGCAGATGGAAAAGGCCAGTGACTGCTGAAATAAAATACTAAATATTGTATATCCCTGAGCTCTGCAGTAGAGGACAAATAAACATGTAATGTTACTAGCTTTGAGCACCAATTGCTAACATGAATAAGGAGATTACTATAAACACATCCATCTTAATGTCAGGAGTGAAAGGGAGAGGTTCATATTGACAGTGAGTAGAATACACCAATCTGCAAAAATACATGCATTTGATTTAGTGTTACCACTCCCCCAGTAGAGATCCCCTATACATATCATCTGTTGTCGCAGGACTTGCAAACACAAACCAAAAGAACAACGGGAACACCACAAATACGATAATCCTTTTCTTTCATTTTTGAACACCCCTGGACACCCATTATTTTCCACTGAATCACGAGTATACCAATTAGCACTTAATAGCATTATGCATACAGTGCTGTTTCTCTGTTTGTTGTGCTGTTACTACTGCTGCTACTGCTAAAATGACAGCATGTTAACTTCTCACCATTGGACCTTTTTATTTGTGGACTTTGGAGTGCATTATGAGGCTTAGGAGGTGAAGGATCATCCTTGTGTTTTTCTTTTTGCACTATATAGTGACCTGGCTCTTGCACCTTAATGTGACTAGACATGATATGGAGCTGAGTCGCAGCACTCGGCTCCAGTCAGGTCAGGATGTCAGGCTGATGATATCTGTTTGGAAGGTGGACTTTCAGCCGCCAGCACCACCTTTTCATAGCAATAGATGAGATGAGATTTGGCATGACATATGGCCAGCATGTTGGGCACAAGCTTTCTGTCTGCTAATGTCATACCCTTTGGCCTGTCCACCTGTAAGTAGCCACCCCAGAGCACACTGAGACAAAAGTGTGTCTGTGTGTATTAGACGTTTTGCTTCTCAAAATGAAGAAACAGAACATACAAATACAAAATATAGAAATCATTAGCATGAGAATTACTGTAGATGGCAAAATGGTTATGGTTACAGAAAGACTGCAATTACATTTAATAAAAAGTGAAGCCTGACTGCAAGGCTGTCATGGTATCTGTGCAGATTCTCAGTCATCCAGGTCATAGTAAGCTGAAAAAATGTAGAAAAATTGACTGGACTAGGTTTTTAGGTCAAAGACGTTTCACCTCTCATCCAAGAGGCTTCATCAATTCCGCCCGACTGGCGTTGAGTCAGAGATATTTATCCCCATCGGTGGTGTTTCAGTCGATCGTTAGTTAAAGGGCAGAAGACTTGGTATTGGTTGGATTCCTAGGCTGGACAGGAATTTAGTTGGTGGTCATCCAGTGAAGAAATGGTACTAAACCTATACAACAAGACTAGGAATGTAAACAATGTTAAAGGTTTAGTTGCCTGTTTTTAACAATTCTTGTGTGTAGGTGTTTTTTATTTGTCTAACTACTTTTTATTGATTGTTACCTTTGTAAAGTATCTGAGTATCATGAAACTCACTATACTATACATTGTCAATTTAATCATCTTTTTCAGAAGTAGTTTGAACTCCTTTTTCTGAGCAGCTTTAGTTAACATAACTAGGTTTTCCTTAAGGTAGTTTTGCTATACTGTAGTTACATTTTTCCAATTTCAAAGTAGCCTCCCTAACACTGGATTGTCATCCACACAATCATTGTATGTGTGGGGTTCTTTGCTCATGTCGTGAGCAAAGACAATCACGTGTTATCAAATCACACCCGCACTGATATAGCAAATTAACTGAGTTAGGAGCTCTTAATAGATCTTCTTAACTTTTAGTTTTTCCTCATCACTATTTATAACCTCACGTGCCATCACTGGAGCATTCATATTCAAATAGTCCAGGTTGTACTTCCTGTAAAATCTGTTACTGTCTCTGAGATGACTAAACCTTTACAAACATTTATATATTAAGATACCTTTAAGGCAGGAGGAATAAATAGAAATGGCTAAGACTGAACAGGGTTAACTTTGATGGTTGCATGTTTAGTCATGAAGAGTTAATATTTAAGATAGAGATTAACTGTCTGAGCTCTATAGCTTTCATCTAGCTGAACAGCATTTATAATCACTAAAATATCCTAATTATAAACACCAGTTACTAAATTAAGATCTTCTCATCAGTTCACACTGTGAACTGATGTGTCCTGTCATTTACATTCTAATAGAAACATTTGCATATGAAAAATATGGGTTTGCAAAGCATGTACTATTGTGTGTAAAAATGTGTGTTGTTATATCAACTGTTTTTTATATGCTTGAAAGAATAAATCAAGAATAAATCAAATCAAAACTTAGGGTAAACCTGAACTTTCATGAAGTATATGCAGAATATCCATTCTCTGTTCTTATCACACATGATGTAAAGATGTTTGATATTCCATCCAAGGAAGCATGACTTTGTTTAACCTTATGCCAAATGCTTGGTTTCAGAGCTTCACAAAATAAGCAGTGGAGATATACCAAATCTATTCCTGTGCATGTTTAGAAAAGTACTTCCTTTTAACTTTTTTTTGTTTTTGTTTTGTTAGTATACAGTTTATTCAGAGTAGTGTGAAAAATCCATCACTGTGAGAGTGAGTCAGAGAAACAGAGCAGGGCCTAAAGCTAATATGAGGTGAGTGATAACAGTGATGTCACAATAGAACCACCTCCAGCCTTTAGAACAGTTTGTCTTTTGTGTGTGTATGCCTTTGTATTACTTACATCATGAGGACCAAAACCTGTTAACACACACACACACTGTGGGGACTGGGCCATCCTCGTGGGGACCAGAAGCTGGGATGAGGTTAGGGGCAGGGTTAGGTGTTAGGCAAGTAGTAGTTAGCGTTAAGGTTAGGATAAGTCTACAGGAAATGACTGTAAGTCAATGTAAAGTCTCCACAAAGAATGAAAACACAACATGTGTGTGTGTGTGTGTG